ACCGTAGTGGCAGAGGCACGCGGGACAAAAACGGGGTAGAAGGGGATAATTTAGTGAAAAACAAGTTTAGGCAAATTTAACCATTAAAACGCACGAGAGGGACCCACAAAGGCTGAAACGCCTGAGGAAGGTCCAAGATTAGCCTCACCCCACGGCAATTTTTCCCTCTAAAGCCAGGGCAGCAGCTCTTCCCTGCAGGAAGATGATTGGGCCAACACAGCCCATCCCAGGACAGCAGAGAGAAGGGGGAAGAAAACCAACACGAAACCGCTCCTGTGCTTCCTATTAAATATGGCACAAGGAAAAATAAATAAATAAATATAATCGGGAGAAAAGAGGACAGTGACTGCCCTCTAGCTCCCACAAGCAGAAGTTCTGGGCAGCTGCAGGTAACAGCTCCCTTTTTTAAAAAAAAGAAGGGAATTTGAGACTGGAAGCAGGGGGAAAGAAAGGAGAAGACCAAGTTTTAGACATTCGCTCTTCTTTATTTTTTTTAAGTTGTCTTTAAACATTAATGCACACACCCTTTCCACTCCTAGATGTCCCAGCTAGCACGAAGGGCTCGGCTGAACAACGCGCCCGGGGCGCTCCCGCCACTTCTCTGCTTCTGCCTCTGCTTCCCGGTGATCCCAGGGCTTCTTTTGCAGGAGTAACCTAAAAAAAAAAAATTAAAAAGCATGCTCTTCTGCAAATTCGCTGCATAAGAAAGATGGGGGTGCAGCCCGCCAGCTCTATGCCCAGCTCTGTGACACGAGAACAGTCTTTTTCCCTGGACTGTTAAGGGAGCGAAAGCGGGAGCTGTGGATGCAACAGCCTCCGACTTCCACTGAAGCGTCTGCGAAACTTGTGGCTGTTGGCAATCCTGGCTCCATCCTGGAGCAGGTGCCAGCAGCAGGTCGTGGTGGGACATGCGACAGGACGCGGAGGGCTCCGGGAATACGGATGCGGGCGCTCCGGGCCCTCCGGCTACGGCTTGGGCACGGTGAAGTCCCAGGCGGTCTCCTGGGCACACTTCCACATGGCCCTCATGAGCCGCGTGAAGCCCATGTCTTTGGGCTTCTCCAAGCCTCGCATGAGCCGCTGCTTCATGATGGCCACAAACTCCTTGTTGCTCAGCTCTCCGTTGCCTGGGAGGAGAAGGAAAAACTGTTAGAGAGAGAAAAACCCCATTTATCCACCTGCAATCCCCTTTCCAAACTCCCAGAGGGAGTGCAGATTCCCTCCTTGCCATTTTCTTTGCAGCAACGACAAGTCTTCAAGAACAAGGAGGTAGCTGGAGCCCTTCAGAAAACGCCAGCTGCCCAGATCAAAAGCAGCAGCATCTCTCCAGCCCACACCAGGAACCGCATCAGTTATGCTTAACCAACAAGGGTTTTACTTAAAGATCTTTTAGTTTTTCCTGCATTACTTCCAAATGAAAATCCAGGCAGTGAAATTCCAGCAAAGCACCAAGAGGTGAATAAATTCCCCCTGGTTGGGCAGGTTTTTGATGTAATGGCTACAAACCCTGACAGAGCGAAGCCAAAAGATGGATCTGCGCCTGCTTTTCCGCTTTATTCCTCTCTTTCCAGGGGCTTTTCTGACAACCACAATCTTTTCCCTGGAAGGGTTTCCCTGCATTCCCGACGCTGTGTTTTGTCACGCGGCCACACTCACCATCGCAGTCAAAGAGGGCAAACACCACGTCGCACACGTGGTCCGAGAGCTCCACCTTGGCCACCGTGCGGGCCACCTGCTGCATCGTCACTGCGGGGGAGCAAGGGGACAGCGTCAGCGGGAAAGGCTCGAGGTCGCTCCGAGCTGAAGTGAAACGTTAAAGACACCCAGATGGGGCATTTCCCCCCGCTTTGGGTGCGACATCGGAAGAAGTCAGGTCAAGACTTCTGTGGACACCGTGGGGGAAAAGTAACAGGATTTTTCTTTATTTTTGCAAGTGCCATCTTATAGAAAATCCAGCAACCCTCACTAATGAAAAAGCATTTTTTTGCAATTCTAATTGGCCAGCTTTTCAGAGCTGTGCATCGGCGGTTTGCAAAGGGCTGGAAGAATGGAAAGTTGGCACTGAAAAAGTACAAGAGCCGCAAGCTGAATGCGGCTAAAGGCTTTGAAAAGGGGCTGGATAACCAGGGAAACAGCAGGAAGCATTTGTGTTATGAGAACAGAAAAAGTCACCTCATACATGCAGCCCTTCCTCTCCAGCTCTCTGAATTTCCCCTCTCCAGAATAAAACCCCCTTGGGCACAAATTGGCCCAAAAGAGCCAAAGCAGCCGCAGGACCGAATCCCAGCACCAGTGAACGGGCACACGAAACGACCAGGCTGTTCAGCCTGGGAAAAAGCACATTATTAACAGCCCGTGATTTAATTAGCTTGCGCTTGCGTCCAGCATTCACAAGTTGTAATTAAATTACCAGGCTGGCTTGAGCTTTCCCTTCACTTTGAGGAGAAAAAAAGAAGAAAGAAAAATATACATATACATATATATATATGTATGTATCAGTCTTCAGCAGTTTGAGTCACAGTCCCCTTCCCTTCAGCTCCTGCACTCATTGAGGAGAATAAAACCCCCAGATGGAGGGAGCCCCGGCCGCTATCACCAGCAGCCGAATGGATCTCGCAGCCTCCGGAGCGCTGCGGAAAAGGGGAGAACCCTCCCAGCAGGGCCACTTGGAGAGAGGCTGCGGCTCTGCGTGACAAACGGGGACACTTGCGGGTGGCCTCCTACAGGCTGGGCTGAGGGTGGAAAAAGACCAGCTGTATAATGCAAAAGACCAAGCATAATGCAACATTTATAGGTCTCCTGCAGAGGTACCAGGACACTTTCATCTTCACGTGGCTTCCACATAGGCACAGAAACAGGAGCTCGGGTGCTCGGTGACTGCATCCATATGGAGGCATCAAAGAAGGCATCAAAGCCTCCTGCAGAAGCCAGGGAAATCCCATCTCCCTTAGTTTTGCAATCAAGGCTGCAAAAACAAAAGCTGAACGTGGAGCCACGCTGAACCCTGTGATGGGGCTGCATTATTGCTGCAAAGCAGAGCCTAAGCTGGAGTTTTTCCCCTGTGTTTTCACACTAGGCAAGTATTTGGCCAAAATAATAAGCAGGTGTCTTAGCCCAAGTTATCTGAGCATGGTTTCTCAAGGTAAAGAGATTTAAAATGACCATGAGTCTGAAGATGCATCTGTCCCTTGTCCCCCTGCCTAGCTCATGTTCCCCATGAAGCTGCATCTGCTCCTTGCCCTAAAATAGGAGGGATTTCTCAGCACTGCCTCCTGGTGCCACCAGCAAAGCTGCTCGGAGAGCCTGGCTGCGGGTAGTGCCAAAAAAAGTGCAATTCACCCCCCTCCTCCAACGGGGAGGGAAGGATGAATTTGGCTCCAGCCCTGCCGCCAGCTGCAAGCCCAGGCCAGCTGGCTGGGAAAGGTCCCTAAATATGATTTGTTTAGGATTTAAGAGAACGACTGCTATTTTGCTTCTGGAAAAGCAAAGATGGACTAGCTAGTGATCTATGCAGCATTCCGGGCTTCATTAAGGTGCAATTTTATGATCTGTTTAAAACAATAGCCTATATACTGCCTTAATTTAACAGGGAGAATGAGTCAGCCAAGTTGTGGCTTGTTCCCTATCAGACTTTTTTTTCCCCCATTTCATTTTAAACAACATTTTTAAAACTCATAACAAGAAAGCTTATGCAATAGGCTAGAAGCAACTTATGGGGTATATAAACTACCCTCTTTTTTTTTCTTTCTTTCTTCAGAAGAGCAGCAATTTTTATATTTGCTGGTTTTTAATCAGCAGACACTTCTCCTTTCTCATTTTCCATAACTGCCAAGGGGATGTTGACAAGACCTTTCCCTGCTGCTTCCAGACCTGGCTCGTTCCTGGAGGAGCCTGAAGCCTCTCCAAGGTTTCCTCCTTCAGCCAAAGGGCTCCTAGATCAAGCTCAGTGGTTCCAGCAAACACTCATTAACTGTCCATAATTAAACCACACTGATTTACTAGCTGGGTGAGGGGCTATGTATTCCACAGACACACAACCTTGCAACTGCTCATTTATTATAGACAGTGTGAGAAACGTGGAGCCTCTGAGCTGTTACCTGCTCCCCACACGCTGCAGCAGCTCCTCCTTTAACATACACTATTCCTTGCTCCCTTTTTCTTTTAAATGAAAGGGAAAACCTACCAGGTTCTTTTAAGTTGAAGCTTCAAGATAGAATGATCTAAAATGAAGAGTACAGATAATCTCCAAAAAAATAAAAATCAAAGCCAAGAAGGGTTCTCGACACATGGAAGAGATGTGACATCTTGGACTCTTTGTAATTCTACTGCCCCAAACCTATTAATGCCTTAATACTCCCACAGCAGCAGCAGCTCAAAGAGGAACTTATTCTGAAAACATCCCATTTCTCAGCTGTCCAAGTAAATCAGTTTTAAGCTTTTAAGCAGAGAACAAGAGTTTCCATTAAGCTTCAAAAAAAAAACCCTTTTAATTAGCGTGCAATGGTTTCTTATATTCCCAGTCTGAGTGTTTGAAAAACTATTCCTTCACAAAGGGATCTAGAGGCAACAAGGGCACGTGCTTGTGACAGAGAGACTAAAGAGAACCCAGGGTTTATGCTTTAATAAACGGTACAAAATCTTCAGTATATCCAGACCTGAGAACATACCTGCAATTTTTAATCTGTCAGACTGTTAGCAGTGCCCAGAATCTAAACACACCACATGGAAATCATCCCCCTGCACCTTCCAGCACTGTCTGCCTCAAGTTTTGATACCTTTATCGAGTGAAGCTCCAGCCATGTGGTAAAAGCTCAGGGCCGTGTCCACGTCGTTGATGTTCTTCAGAAACGTGAAGAAGTTCTCCACCTCCTCAAATGTGAGCCCCTATGTAATGGAGAAGAGAGTTTATCTTAGAGTTAAGGAAAGAGGAGAGCGTGACAGGGCTCACATCGCTAATAAAAAGCGCTTTGGATGGAGAAGGCATCCAGTTGCTACTGTCAAATATAAGTTTATACCATCTGCTGCAACCCTGCTCAAAACATTTTCAACAAATTCACCCTTCTCATCAAAGCTGGGAAGAAGTGACCCATCACTCTGAATAAAACGCACTTTTTATCATCTTAGAGACACAGCATATCTAGGATTTTAAAGCAAAGGAATTACAGAAGATTTATCATTTCCATGGAAATACCACCAAGAAGTGCAAGACGACCTCCGTTTTGGGACAACGTACCTAGAATAACAAAGATGCATCCAAAAAGGCACTGACATTGGGTGGGATGCTCCTGAAACATGTAGTAACCTCTGATTTAGGAATGTTTCCCTGAAATTATTGCCTGCCTTGCCTGAAACTACCAAAATGGTGAATTTCAAGCCTAACTTAGTGCCATTTACTTGTAAAAAAAAAAAAAAAAAAAGGTGAGACTGCCTGCAAATCTTCTTTATACAAAAGCACGGAGTGACTTTTTTATTTTAATTTTATTTATTTACAGAGGTGATCTTTACCCCTTGCTTATTCCAATTCATTCATTCAGCTTTGACAGCGGTCAGGTTGTCCAACACTTAATAAACTAGTTTTAAACAAAGAGGAGGAAAGATTCATCTGTCAAAGCACTGCTTCAGGCTCCAAAAAGAGCAGCTTTGCTGGGAAACAGCAAATATCAAAGTGGCTTTCACGTAGATAAATGCACGCAATCCCTAAGGCAAAAATGCCACCAGTATTATCAAAACTAAGATATTGCTGATGAATCCTACAGGTCTGGCAGGAGCATTGACTCCAATCATAAAAAAACAGAGTGAAATAACCTCAAAACTGCACCAGCAAATGGATAGACACAAAGGATTTGCTTCATCAGTCAAAAGCCAGGATATGGGAATTTATCTCTTCCCCATTGATGTGTCTGTCAACAGCACTAGACTCTTCATAAGTCACTCGCATCACACTTAGAGGACCAACTGGGATCTTTGTTCTAAAATATGGGCATGTGTTAACTAGGAATCACAGGAAAACCCATTTCTGGAGAGGATGAGGAGAGCAACTGAGAGATCTGGATGGACATTTCTGGGAGACATTTGTGGTTGGTGGCTTGGAATAATATTTGCTGCATAGAGCAGCAGTTTGGAGGAATTTGGTGCAGCTCAGAGCTCTCCAAGGCCCAGGGTGGCAGGGAAAAGCCGCACAGAACTGCCCTTTGGTGATGTTTAAACACAGGGAGCAACTGTGCTGTGCTGGGAGAGATCAAAACTGCTTTGAAGCCGCTTAGTCCGTCCCTGGAGGCATTGCAAAAATGCTGTAGCAGGCACGAGCAACACCTGGGCCTGAAGTGGTACAAGGAGCTAAAAAGGACTCGAATGGGGCCAACTCTTGCGTCTCCTAAGATATTTTGCATCTAAAACAGTTAAGAAATAAATTACAGTTCTGGCATCATTAAGAAGCGGCTCTAGGACAGTCAGATCCATCCGACACGCAGGTAGAGATCTTCATTCTGCTCTCATTGTGGTTAACAGCTTGTTAATAAGTAGTTAAAGGACAATCCATCTCTACAGAAGCAGACACGGAATTCTAACACCACAGCAATTTTGCACCCAATCTTATTAAGAAAAAAGTCCTTCCAGCGTGGATGGTTTTTTCCAAGGTCTCTCACTAGATGAGCCAGTGCGGGATCTGCAGCCTTATTCCTCTCTCAATTCCGAGTAATGGAATTTTTAATATAGGCTCCTAACAACAACAAGCTGCCCAGTCAGGGCAGCTAATTAACCCAAGGTCATGCTAGCAGCTAGGTGCTCAGCTTTAATGTTTACCCTGGCTGCTCAGCAAACACTAACTAATGTGAACACTAACGGCTGCACTGCTCTTGCTTGAAGGACTCATCCTCTGCACCAGCTCTGTGCCTGTCTAAAAGGGCACAGGTGTTTTTATTAGGAGGCAAAAATGGCTCCGAGCAAAGGAGTTCCCCCAATTCTGGTGCATTCCCAGCGTGCGGGGCGGGGGTTGTCCCAAGTTTTCCGCCTCTCCGCGCGTCACCGCTGACCTCTCCGTCCTGGAAGTGCTTCCTGAGCTGCTTGAGCATGACGGTGAGCTTCTTGGACTGCACGCCGCTGTAGGCCAGCAGCATGCTGCCGAACTGGCGCTCCGTGATGCGCCCCTCCACCGGCTCGTGCCGCTCGAACTGCGGGGGGAAAAAAATAGTGCGTGAGGATTCTCCGGCCGTGTCGGATCCCCCGCCTCCCAGGCTGAGGGGATCTGCTGCACTGCAAGAAAAACCAAGATGAGGCAAATCTGGCTTTGAAAAACAACATACAAATCACCAATGTGAAGCTCTCTAAAGCACCAAACGGTCCCAAGAGGCTCTTTCTAATCCAGCCCCATTCCCTCTCCCAGTGAGTTCCAAAACTGGCTCCGAGCTTTTATTTCTGCAGGTGATTATACTATTAAAAAACTACGTAAGCACTAATCCCACAAAATAATGAAAAATAAAAAAGGGGAGTTAGTGTTATTTTGTGTATATTAAAAAAATAACACAATTGATGATAATATAATCATTAATGGATGGAGGAAAAGCCACCAATGATGGCAAATGGTGAGGAAAATTCAAATGTGGCTTCAACTACCGCCAGGTATTAATTTGGAAAGGGCTGAATGGGGGACATTGTTTAAAGATGATGCACAGGGTGATAGGATGCAAAATATATTGCCCAGAGACAGAAATGCAGCCGCTCAGACAGCTCCCAGCCACGGCCACTTGGTGCCAGCAGCACCCGCGTGTCACCGCGAGCGCCAGGAACAGCGACATTCCTCCCGCAAGCGGGATGTGAAAAAGTTAACCCAAAACACAGGCATCCTCCTGACATGCACAAAAAACACCTGTATGTTTCTTTGTAACATAAGATGAAATGTAGACAAACTGCTGGATTGCTTGAGTTGCCTGGCCGAGCATCAACCTAACGATCCCGACGTCAGGTTGGGTAGACGAGGGTGACAAGAACTTGCTAAGAAGCTGAGTAGCAAAAAGACATCCCTGAATATCACATCAGGCTGCCATTTATTCAGATTTAACGTGGCTGTATGTGGTACCTTGGCTGCAACACTCTGCAAGAAAGATTCAGATTAAATCAGCAGGTTAACTCTCCCTCCTTCCTTCAGGAAAAGTCAGGCTTTGCTTTGCCTCTCCTCAAGGGAAAGTTTCACCTTTCAGCCAACTCTTCTCTTGAATTTGTCATAACCAGTGGCATTAAAAAGACACAAACGGACAGGATTTCCTGTCAAGTTGCACACGGAATATAAAAGAACACCCCCCTGCCCACCTCGCTAAAATGCAGAAGCCTCCTCTGAGAAAAAGCAAAGTTTTTTGGAGAAAAATGTGGTGCTCGCTGGTTGTGAGGCAAGGGAGTGAGATGAAGAGACTGGGAAGGAGAGGAATGGGGAATACTTAAAAAGTGTTTCCATAGTCATTCACTGCCTTGAGGAATGGGGGAGAAGGACCCCTGGTTGTTCCTGGTCAGGTGGGACAGGCTGTGTGAGCCCCTCGTATCATGCAGTCTGGGAAGGCAAAGGAAAAATCTCTTTTCTCACAGCTCAAAGCACCAAGGCCAGCCTGCCTTGTGCAAGTCCAATAGGAGGCTGACCTCCACAAATATGAGTTATGGGCCCTTGCTTACACAGCTTCATCAAGCTGACGCTGCCAGCCTTCATTTGTCGGGGCAGCCACAATAATTAATGTACGTGACTCTTCTTTCACCTAAATCACTGCATCAGACACACAGACATGGGACTCACTGGTGCAGACTTGGCTGCTGTGTTAAGAACTCCTGCAAACCTGTAGCAGTGCACGAGGCCTCCTACAGAAAACACAAACAGAACCCCCAAAACCTTGAGTAAGGCAACTGCAACGTGCTAATTAATATTTGGCACAGGACTCTGCAGAACTCAGCTGCCAAATACCCCAGCTCTGGGGATTCACAGCTCAAGGCACATGTTACACACCCCAGGTACTACCCAAAAGCCCATGAAGTATCAGAAAAGCTTTTTGAAACAAAAGCAAATCAGTTAAGGCACGGTTTAGGTCTAAAAATATTTGGGAATTCCTAAAAAGATCCATGCAAACGGATGGCACCGGCCATCACCCCTTCTTTGTTCTAGCACTTGCAGACCTTTGGCTTGGGAGAGATGACTAGCAGGAGTCTCCTTGATCCTAGGAGAAGGAAAATGGGCACAGACACTTAGCCTTAAGGATAAGGACACCCAAGGCTCTCTTCTGAGACCAGAAGACAGGGTGTAGGGCTGGATTAGTCCTTGCTGCAGCAATTCAGCTGAGAACAAGTGTCCTCAGCAAGCAACTCTCAGGGATATTGTGCTATAGAAAACTCCCTGCCAACATTTTGAGAAAAAAAGGAAAAGAAAATGATTTCCTAAGGTTTTATGCCACAGGCAGTTACTCACGGCTGGCAACAGACCAAGGGGCAGACTGCACAAAAACAAGAGCAAGAAATGAGATTAAATCCCTGCAATTAGCAGACTTTTGGTTGCCTTTCAGAGAGCAAAGCAGTGACACGGGCGTGCAGAGCAATGGTTTAGCTTATGTCCTTCCTACATACACTTATGGAGTCATACAAAAATCGAGGCTGGAACTTCTCCTGCTCCACTAAGGACACAGAAATATCTAGGACAGGCACTTATGAGCAGAAATAAGATAAATTACAATGTCAAGTTCCATCCAGCCTTTTACCTCTCGGAACGGTATCGCCCAAAAGGCACCATTCAAGCAAAGCACTATGTGTCCTAATAGGAGCCACAACAATTCCCTAGTAGAGGCCCCAGTTTCCTCTGGCACGGATTAAAAAAGAGGTTTCAGTTGGTTCTTATGTCTCTCCTGCACGAACCAGAACCATCTTCCATGCAATTGCTGACCTGGAAACAGCAGGAAAGGAGAAAAATGAGACAGAAACTGAGAATAGCCAAACCACAGAAAAGTCCTAACAAACCACTAAAAGCTTCCGTTTTCCCTCTGGCTGCGGTTACTTTCCTCATTTTTCCCCTCTGCTACTTAGTTGATTGCAGAGTTTTCATAAAGTGATGGAAAATGGGCTTTCATCACCAAACCAAGCCATAGGGAAGCAGCAGTGTGGATGTAGGCATCTCATCCACGAGGAAGATGGAAACGTGCAGGGCTCCCTCCGACCTAACTGCTCCAAGGAAGCCGCAGTTTGGTCCGAGGGGGAAACCTGCATCAATTTTTCTTAAGTAAAAAATAACAACAACAACAATAATGCACTGAAACCACTAAGGGGAAATTGGGTTCAGCAAAGCACTGTCCACCTCCACATCAGCCAAGGAACCCAGTTCTAGAGTGCATCAACCACAAGGCCTGTCTGGCTTCCTGATCCCAAAGGAAAAGAACGTTAAAGACATTTTAAAGCAGTTTTCTTTGCAAGAAAAATCGGAGTGTGAGGGTCTGAGGACAGTTGCACTGACCTCGTCACAGGCTGCATCTCCCTTGCCAAGATTATACGGTGAAACGTGACGGTTTCCCCTAAGCTTGTTCTCAAGTTAAGACATCAGGAAGAAAAATAAATAAAATAAAAAGCTTTCAAATGAATATACCAGCCTCACACTGGATAGTCATCTAAGACATGAAAAGATCAGGAGGTGACGGGATGCTGGACAAGTTGATCTGAACTGGCAAATCCATCATCCCCTTTTTTCCTAGAGAAGGAAACACCAGAAACCCACTGGACACTTGTGTGAAACACTGCTTAACCATGAACAAAACCATCAAGTGTGAAGCATGGAAGAAAGTGGGAGATAAGAGTCATAGGAGATAAAAGCAAAAGAAGGCAGAGGCCAAGTTAAGCAATGTGAGGGAAAGATCTGTAGTGCCAAAAAGCAGGTAATATAATGAACTCAAAAATATATGATTTTGGCAGAACTATTCTCTTTGTATAGGTCAATTTCCAGGTGAAACAAGATTATCAGAAATGCTGATCATAGCACAAACTGTGTTTACGTGTGTTGTCATACGTTCAGTAACCACACGTTTTTAACATTCATTAACTTACAAGTAAACATCTTGTACCATCCCCAACTAATTTGCCAGCAACAGCTAGAAAGGCAACTAAAATACACCAGGAAGAACCACGGTTGACTTCGGGTGATTGAAAACTGAATTAGTTGCCACAAAAGGCAAAGGGAGAAGAGGTACCACGACACTAAATAACCCCATTGCTTTAATATCAATTTCACTGAGTATCAGTCTGTAGGAACAGCGAGGAATTGAGGTGCTCGTGGCTATGAAGAACATCTTCCTCCACAGCCTATTCCCCGTGCAAACAGTGTCATGCCGCTGACTCGAGCGAACAGCTAGATGAAACCAGCTAACCAGAAAAATAAACACCTTAAGAAAATGCTAGTCCTTAAGTTCATGCTAAATTACATAAAATGACCATATGTACATTCCCACCTTGGAGCAAAGCGCTAGCAAACTCCTACTCCTGTCTTAACAGAGTGTGATGAGTCCTTTTTGTGCACAAAATCCTCATTTCTGACATAAATAACCCGGCTTTGATCAAGCCCAGTCCACCGTGCAAGCTTTCTATCAAGAAGGATGCTCTTTTAAACCGAATCAATTCCACCTGGGAGAGATCAGGATTGCTATTTTCAGACTCCCTTTAATCAAAAGAGAATTTGGAAGCTCAATGTTTAAACCTTGGATGTGCAACTAGGAGGAGGAGAGTGGGAGCTCTGTTAGCTCAGGGCAGTGCCAAGAAAACAGGAAATGCTCAGTTCAGTGGAAAGGTAGAAGATGCAGAAGCAATGCACAAAATTTCACTTATGTTAAGTGAGAATATGGAAGGCACATAGAGACCGTGCATTTGGCAGGATTCAAAGAAGACTTGAACACTCTTGCAGCAGAAATGTTTAGAAAAACAAGCAAAAAGGGAGAAAAGAATGAAGGATTTTGCCAGTTCCTCCAGGCCACTCACTAGAACAGGGACAAACTTTCTTAAGGTAAGTTAGGAGCAGACAACTCATAACCCCTTTGGTGTTTCTCAGAAGCATCTCGTGTTCCTCTCCACAAGCAAAGTCAGGGCAGAATGAACCACTCGGGTGGGACAACAGGCTCCAACCCCTCCTGTGCTCGCCTCGCTCTTCCTCCAGAACCCAGGTTTGAGGCCACGTGCTGGAGAAACAGCAGGTCTCCACCACCACGGTCCTCCTTGGGCTACCCTGTTCCCCACAGGCAAGAAGCCAAACCTCGAGCTTGAGGATGTCGTGCTGAAGCTTGCGCTGGAAGTCCAGGAAGTGGGAGATGGTGAGCTTGCCCTTGAGGTCAGCGCCGAAGAAGTACGTGGTGAGCGCCGAGTTGAAGCCGCTCTTGAGCGTGTTGCCGGTCGTGGAGCGGTCCCTGTGGCGCATGCCCATGCTCGTTTGGGAGCGAATGATGCTCTGCACCTGGAAACAGGAGGGAGAGCAGTGCGTTAGCAGGAAAAAACACCAGTGGGGCTCATGCGAAGTATCACGGTGAATTAGTCCGGCTCAGCCGTGTGTGACACTGGACCATCCTCTGGTTTAGTCCTCTGTGGCTAGTGGCTTTCTGAAGCTTACCCAAAACCTGGTGCTTGGCCTTCAGCCCCTGCCTCCTCCTCACACTAGCAGAACGGGGGAAGAAAAAGTGCCAAGAGTTGCAAAAGGCCTCAGCTATGAATAGGACACGAGAATCTTGTTATTTGCGGGATCTGGCAAGCGTAACCCTGGCTTGACAAGAGACTGTGGTATGAACAGCCCCAAAGGGCATGTTGTGGAGGAGAGTGCAGCATCTCACCACTCACAGCTCCCAAAACACCATCCCGAGCTGCTACTCCTCCACTGCAAGGGAAAAGGCAGAGAGAAGGACACAAAACAAGAACCAAGATGACTTTTTTGGAGGGGACCTTAAAATAAGCGCTGTAACCCGAGGAAGAATTTTGCCCCTTGGCCTGTAGCAGCACTGCAAATAGCAGCTCCTCATTTTGTTTTGTGTTCCACTTTAACACAAGTTCTACACGCATATTTTGGAGGAAAATATTTATAAACTCTGTGTGAAGCAATGCAGCGCGTGGATGGCTTGAAAAGCTGCTTCTCCTTCTGCAGAGCTGACTGCTCACCACACTGCAGACCACTCAATAGCCTAATTCCTCTTGTGTTATTACATATGGTGCCTTATACCTCAGTCAAGCCTGAGCCTCCCCGTTTCCCTTGCCATAAATAAAAAGTTAAGGGCAGTTTGGAAATGTGTCCGTGCGGTACTAGAGGCAAAATGATTTGGCTGCTCCCTGGTTGGAGTAATTCTTCTAAAACAAAAGAAAAATGCAGGCGACTGCTGCAAAAAGTCCTGTCTAGTCCCACCAGGACTTCCTGTCTCATCCATCACACAGTGATTCTGCAGAGATGCTTCTTGGTCTTTCTCACATAATCCAAACCAAGTCTTGATGATTTGTTTCATCTTTTGTACCAGCCAAGAAAGAAAAAGGATCAATAAAAACAGTTAAATGAAATGGTCTGAGGAGAAATCGCAGGTAAAGTGGCAAGTTAATTAAAATGTTGGATGAAAAATAGTTAACAATAGAGCAGTAAGCCAAAAATTCATGGGTAATGCTATGGAGGATGAAAAGTTAAAGCTGATGCTGATGATGACAAACTATTAGAGCTGTACACAGATTGTATGCATCAACTGGAAAAATGCTAGAGACTCTTCAGGGAGGCACAAGAAAAATCGGTATTTTCCTTATCAGGGAGTTAAGCCTCTGATTTACCCGTTAGTGGAACTCCTGCAATTTCCTTTCTTGATGATGATGAATACTTTTAAAGTTTCCCCTCTCCTCAGTGGGGCAAGAGAACCCAAGTTATGTTGTTGTTCTGGACTAATGCCACCTTTCGGAGCACGTTCCGCTGGAGCGGCCACTTCAAGCTGTCCCTACCAGATAAGGTGTTTATGGGACAAATCTCCAAAGCCTGCCATTCCTCATGCTCTTACTGGGCATTAACCATAAGGCAGTGTAACAAATACTTATTATATAAATGAGAGTGTGTGTGTGTTTATACACACACAGAAAATACACACACCTCCCACTGAATCTATATGTCTGCTTTATTTCTGTTTGCAAAGTGTCTCCAATCAGTTCTGCTGGTATCTGCAGAGAGCAGATGGTGGCAATTCGCTTTCACCATTTACCTGAGGCAACATGCTCATGTTCTCAAACAGCAGTTCTTCCTTCCACCGCACTGATTTCTTCCCCCTTTCCAAGACAGATCCTTTATTCTCTGACTGGAAGGCTCAAGCTCTCTGTTTTTTTCCTCCCCTTTTTTGATTGCTCTTCACCGAAATATACTGGCACTAAACAGCAACTTCATTCTTTTCATATTTAGTGACACATATAACAAGCTTAACAAAACTATGCTCGTCTTTCTAAGGGTTTGTGCAGGTTCTTATGCATATATTTACTTCCCTGGGCCTATCAGACAGTTCGAGCCTGTGTAATTCAAGCTTGCATCTTCTTTCATCTGCAGAGCATATTCAAAATGCTCCTCCTCAGGAACACTGTTTTACTTTATCTACATAATGCAAAAGCTAAATGTGACACCTGCATTAATAGCTTGGCTTCAGTGTGTTTTTAGTAGACTACCAAGCACTTTCTACTTGGCTTAAACTCGCTTATCTACACAACTCATTTCACCTGTAGCACGTTAGTAGCTACTATAAAACATTTCTTGATTTGTTGCATGTTATGGGCAGTGGCAAAGCTTAATATTTACATACTACTCAAAGAGGAGGAGAAATGAGATCCTTTACTTGGGGAAACAGGAAAGACAATTTTTTAAGAGCTAAATCAGCAGTTCCTCCTATTTGCAAAGGATGTAAATTCAATCAGCCTAGGAGAAAGGAGCTATAACCAGATTATGGAGGGCTGCTTTGTGCTCAGGTATCGGGAGACAGCTCTTCCTGCGGTGTAAAAACCGCATGTGTCTGTTATTTGTCTGGGCAGCCTTGATCACAGCTTGATGCTCTATTTAGTTATGCTTTTGGATGTAATTTACTTCAATTGTGCTGTTTTGGGACTAAATGAATTCCATTTGTAAAGCAGCTAAACTAAATTACAGACAAAAAAAATATTGATTCACATCAGTAGAGGTAAGAGATGAACAGCAAGTAGCTGGCTCCTTCCCCTTCACAACCTTCCTTCCCCTTCACAACCTGTTATACTCTAATGACCCAAAAAAAAAAAACAGCAGAGAAAAAGTTGTGGAAAAGGGTAAGGTCAAAATCATCTGATACAAGTACAGAGAAATGTTTTCCTTATGTACTTTGGAGGTGATAACTTCAAAGATACCTCTGTGACAAAGTCACAGAGTTTATACTTAAAATTCTCCTGGTCAAATGAGAGATTGTACAATGAAATATCCCTTTTTTGAGTGTTTTAAAAGAAAAGCAGGCACTGAGGCAACACAGTAAAGTAGAAAAGGAAAAGACAGAGACCAGCAGAAAACTCGCACTTTAGTGACAGTAACATTACGTGAGTGCAACAGTTAGACTGAGATATTGCAGTTTTGACAGGTCAACCTGTCATTTGACTTGCCTGCTCAAACTCTTCCATGTCCACTTCACCGTCTCCGTTCAGATCAAACATCTTGAAGGCTATTTCGAAATTCCGCTGGGGAGCTACATTCAGGAAAAAAAAGAAAAAGATATATATATATCACAGAAAAAAACATAAATATATAAATATATAAATAATATATAAAATATATATATCTAGTGGTGATTTCTAAGTAATACATAGAATTACTTAAGTATATATCACCAGTAGACATATAAATATATAAATAATATAAAAATATATTATGTATATCATATATATTTATAAAATATATATCACATATATATATAAGTATATATCACCAGTAGAAACAAAACAAAAATAATACGCTAGCTCAATAGATAAGGCAGAAGTTAGAAGACAAGTGCAAAAGTCCTACTCAAAGCAATTTTTGATAATTTCTGTATTTTTTTTTAATCAAAAATGCTGTTATTTTTCTATTTTGCCTAAGACCCACGCCCTGTTTCATTGAATCAGTATTTTCCTTCTCCTTGGAAGTGCAGCTCTCAGCTACCTCCCACTACCAACTCCACAGCTCTTCTCTTAGCAAGCGTCTAGATGAGAAACTTGGGAAGGAGAACACACAAATGCAGTAACTTGAGTTCGATTAACAGATTTAAAAGCCACCAATTCCAGGAAAACAACAGCTCTTCCCCACACAGCCCACATTTCTGTTTTGTACTCTGCTATCAACATTTAAAGCTAGAACACCCTGCCAAAACACCTTAATTTTTTTCCAAATTAAGCTAATACAACAGATATTTTCCCTGCTCTGCTGCTTTCCAACACAAGTCAGCTACATGCAACTTGGTTGTTTATTGGGATTTCGAGGCAATCCTCTAGGCTATAATTACTGCTCAGATCATTATCTTAAATGACCATTTAAAATTCAGCCTTTTTTTTTTTTTTTTTAGACCTGAAGACAGCAATTCTCTCCTGAATTCTCAGAGCAATACAGGGCTCCCTGGTGAGGTTTACCCCCCTTTAACCTCATCTGGTTCAACCAGCTTTTAATATACCTTGCAGATGGCCAAGAAATAATCAGATTTTCTGCAGCCTCCATTCTGAAAAAAGGCATATTTCCAGGGACTCAAGATGAAACTCTTAACTCAAAAAACTTGGATCATCCAAAAAAAAAAAAAAAAAAAAAGCTGGTAAATTACCTCCCGTTGGCCTTTTAATGGGATTTTTATCATTTGTTAAATTGCAATAGAAAACATGCAGTTCATGCTCATCACCTGGTAAGCCACATTTGGGCTGTGGAGGGCAAGAGCGTACAAGAAACCACTCAGAGAGAGAGAAATTAATGGGAATTAACCCAATAGGATGTTGCACATTAGTTCCAGCTTCGATTTAAGACCAGGACTCTTTTACACTGGCTTTCCTCCTTGCTGTAATAAACCTTAGCATTTTATTGCTAAAAGATCCAGGCACCACATTAATGTGGTCCCTTTCTAACTCTGTGCCTTGCCCAGATGTACAATGACATTAAACACGGCTGCAGGATGGACCTGTCACCAGGCGCTCGATACACACAGCACACCTGGGCCTGCAGTTATAATCTCCAGTTTCCTCACATAATGTGCCACTATTTGGGCTTTAAATCCCCAGATGTTGGAGCCAGGGGTGGATAAGAGGAGGTAACTATGCCCATCACCACCAGCATGCCATGAGTTATCTTTCCTTTGGGTGAAAATAGCCCAATTCCGCAGCAGGCACCTGCATTTTTACATTCTAATTTACAGCTGGACACAAAAGCCTCCCCTCTTCACAGCCATCCATCACTTCCAGGGATGTTTCCCCATTTCCTTGAAGAGCAACAACATTAAACACTTGCCAGCTCCCCTCCTAGCCATGAAATAACACCAGTTATTTTATTCACTTAAATAGTAAGCATCATATGCAAGCCAAGGAGCAATTTCTTTTTATTAACCCCAAACTCTAGCTCTGCCATGGAGGAGCTCAGTTCCCCTATGAGGGATCAAGGCAGCGTAGAAAATTGCAATGCAGTTAGAAAAGGGTAGGAAAACAGCAATTTACACATTTTCTCCTCGCTCTTCGCACTCTGGACATGAAGAGCACTCACAGGAACCAGCTGCCACCAAAGGCTCCTCAAGGGACGTTGCTTATGACACCTGTCCTGTATCCTGGATGTTTTTCTTGCATCGCTGGTTCAAGTAAGAGCCAAACTTCAAGCAGCAGCCCCGAAGTCACATGAAATGCTGTGCTTGAGCAGACCAACCCGCAGCAGCGCCGACCGCATCCAAACCCCACTCGAACCATCAGGCCAAAGCCCCACTGAGCCTCTGAGCAATTAGAGGGGTTCATTAGGCATCTTTGAGCCAATTATGCCATTTTTAAACTATTCTAAATTATTCAGGGGGCCAATTTGTGGCACTCAGTTGCTCTTTAGTCCATTTACTACCTCAGAAGCAACATATTCTGCAAGGCAGTAAATGCTCGCTGATGAGAAATGCCCCATTTTACCATTTTTCAGCTCATTTGATATTTTCTTCTTAAAGGAAGGGCTCGCAGCACAGCTTTCCTTCTGACTCCAGTTCACAGTTTCAGTCCCCAAACCAGTATCTATCGAGCCTCCATCTCTGTGAGATAATATATTGAGTATTAGGAAAACCATTTTTCTATCGAGCCTCCATCTCTGTGAGATATATTGAGTATTAGGAAAACCATTTCGAGCAGACATTTGCACTTAGCTCTTAGGCTTGACAAGATCAAAAGCAAAGTTGATCCAAGCCATTCATGTTTAATCTGTATAAATAATTAACATATCTACACTGAAAACAAAATAACCAGAAGAACTAGAATGAATATAGGCTAAATAGGTTAGGCTAAATGAATGAAGCACATGAGAAAATCGTGATAAATTCTCCCTGGTCCTTTTATTCTACAGGGGAGAGACTAGATAGGAGCAGAGAGCAGGGCCACAGCCAAACTTATTGAAGCAGTGGGTAAAAATAAAACAAATCTTTATTTTTGGACCAGTTATAATCCAAATAATATGGCTAAAATGGAGAGAAAAACTCATACAGGCAGCGCTAGGGAGACAGCTGTTCAAGTCATGTAGCTCCAACGGTGTTTTTCCTTTTCCTTTTTTGCAGGCTACAACATTAAGAAAAGCTTTTTTCCTCTAGACAAAAAGATTACCACCATTTTCCCCCACCTTTAACCACAGGAATCAGCACGAGTGTTCCTTTCCTGACTTAACACCGTGGTATCTTGGCCAAGAAATCCTTATCCTGGCCAAGCTGGAATCAGGACAGCAGCAGCATTGTGTTCATTAGAGATGATTGTGCTGGTTGTAGGGGAAAAAAAAAAAAACATAAGGGATCTCCCAAAGCAGCAGAATTTTTTGAGGATGAAGTAACAACCTCCTAGGGAAGCTGCTAGGCACAGGAGCTGGATATGTCCAAGCCCCAGCTCCACTAGCTATAGGAAAACTCCCTAATACTCCAGCTGTTTTCCTTGGGAATTACACCACTTTCACAAAAGGAATCCAAGTCCACCTACTCAACTATTTTTTAATATAAATGTTAATCAACTCAGAAAAATAAAATAACTTGCAGCTAGAGCAAGCGAGTCTGCAGCACCGATATTGAGTCACAGTATCGATCCAGCAGGTAAATTATTTTTAAATCGCTAAGAGGTCATTTCTTATCACACGGGAGAATCATAATTACCTCTGAAATAATAAAAGTCCATCTTCTAAAATCTAAGCCTACAAACCCTTTACTACACAACAAAACTTATGCTGTAAGTACTATAAATTGAGGATTTAAGTTTCCTTGATTTCTCTGCATTTTATTTTCAAATTTGAGTTAAAAAAAAAATCAAATATTACCCTGGCTTTTACTGAGTGCAAAGTAGGTATTTCATATGTGATAGAAGTATAACCTGTTTCTTCAACTAGCACATTCAGCAGTTACTACATGTCCTCCAGATGACAGATTCCCTCTTTAAATGCTACTCTCTAGTCAGAGGCAGCCAAGTTCTCCATCCGCATGGAAACCTCTTGAAGAGGCTCCAAGTGATCTTGCACTATGCTATAGTCCAAGTTTATTAGAAGAACACATGCAGAAGTGACTGCACAGTAACTGTTTAGTAGATATAACACCCAGGTGCAAAATTTTGGCCAGAATGGGGTTTTATACTGGTTTCCAGCTTAACTTTTTGCTGCAGTGTCAGAATAACAGTAAACTGAAATGATAAACATGGTACGTGACTATAAGAGGGCAATAAAGAATATTTGCAGCAGTTTGAGGCTGCCCCATTTCATTTTCTTACAGAAACAAGCTGTGGGCCATTCAGTGCCACTTTGCAGGGTGGCAAGAGCAGCAGGAAGCTCCGGCTCACATGCAGCGGGGCAGGAGGTGCCCAAGATGCCATTGGAAAAGCAGATCCATTATAAGCGTGAGGGCTCCTGGGGGAAGATTTCCCACCTCGGCACCAGGAATTCAGGTGCCCACCCCAGCAATGCTAAAAATAGGGGTGCTTGGGGTGCACAGACGCTCTGCCAGGAATAGAAGGAGCTGCAGGTCAGTGGCAGGAGCTGTGGCAAGGCTGGCAGGAGAGTAATTCCTTTGGCTGAAGGCAGCGATATTTAACCCTCCTTCCTGGAGGGATAAATTCAGGCACAGCGACAGTCCAACCATGGGAACAACCCTGACAAAGTCTCTTAATACCCTCTTTCAGGAGCTGTTAATCAAGTAGGCATTAGCACGCCTGGAAAAGAGAGGTTTTTCTCTAATATTGCAGTTGCTGCTGATTGAAAAGCTCTCTCCTTCCTCCAACTGCCTGGCAATACCTGCAGGTGCAAAAGCCTCCGCAGTCCAGGAAGCAACATCTTCATTCTCCATTTTTTTTTTCCCTTTGGCATTTTGAAGATATAGCTCTATTTGCTCACCCCACATTTTGCTCATCGTTCTACTTCCACCCCCAAAATCTCAGCTTGGCTGGGGGAATTCCAACATCTCCACTCGGGCGAGCAGCTGAAGCAACACACACCATGCAGCCTCCTCAAGGTCGTTCAGCTGCTGTTGCCTTTAATAGAAAACCGACTTTGTGAAGCAGTTTAATGCTATTTTATTAGATTTCTTTTAAAAACATTTGCTGGTCACCACCTTCCTGAAGAGCACGGTGATACCAAGCTCCACGTACATTCGATTAAAGGTGATCACCTCTGATAATCAGGAGAAATCAAAGTGTTAATCAGCTTTGAGCTCAATAAACAAGGGGAGAACAGGCCTGGGCTCACACTGCCAATGCAGAGCAGCCTCTTGTGCTTCCCTCCTGCTACATGGGCCAGACTTCACTCCTATTATCATGTTTTATTGCTCAATATGTGATCTTCCTTTCCTAATATGTAGTGGTTTTCAGCTCTTTGATGTAATCTACTGTTCTCTCTTGTGCAGCCACATTCTTAACAGCCAGGTTATCCGCACAGCACCACGAGGGAAAGGATATTGAACTGCCAGCTTTTTAAGATCTACTTTCTCCATTTGACTTTATTGAATTCCTGGAGCAGATGCAAGTGCTACTGGTCTCCTGCAGAGCAGCATATGCTAGAAGGGAGAAGCAAAACACAGCAGCATCACAGTGATTTTCCTACCTTGCCACAAGGCCAGATTATTTGAGAAGTTTCATTAAAAGGCAGCAAATGCTTTAGAAATGAAAACCAAAACTCCTGGTCTGGGGAACTGCGGGTTGACAGCAGCTCTAGACACGTTCCTCCACCCTCTTTAATCATTTAGTAAAGAACAAACTCCCAAAACATACCTGCAAGCCAGCATAAGAAACCTGAAGCACTATTTTTGGGAAAGTTTTTACCTTGTCTGCCCTTCACAGCATTGCTCAAAACCCAAACAGCACTATTTTTGGGAAAGTTTTTACCTTTCACAGCATTGCTCAAACCCAGCATTGCTCAAAACCCAAACTACTCGCTCTGCCTCCTCACGTTAGTTCGATTCCTCCAAACGTGTAAATAGGTTTAAAAGCCCAAGAGGAAAGGAGAAAAACCCTTCCCCTCTGCTGAGCCATCCAAATAAGATGGGCTGCTTCTAGGTGACAAGGCTGTCAGGCTTGCTTTATTCATAAAGCAAAGAAATTAAATGAAAACGAGAAGAATTTGCTTTGCTGATGATTATTTCTGCATTTTGCTCCCTGGGTTTTCAGTGAGCAGGTTGAGAGCAGCAGGGCTGTAACACCAAGGACGTGCCCGGTGGCTCCACCACATGTGGGTACGGGATCCGAGCGGCACGTGAGCCTGCCCTCCGCGACAGGCTCGTGCTAAGGGTCCTTCCTAGAGAGGTGCAAATTCCTTATGTCTTTTAGGCTAGGACTGTGGGGAAATTAAGGCAAGAACGGCCAAAAAAGGCTGCTCAGACTCTGCAAAGAAAACAGAAGATTAAAATCCTAAAACAAAGTCCTTGGCTCAAAAAACAAGAGCTATTTAGCTGTGTTTTTTCTGCATGACATTGAGGTCACGTTACATGACCTGGAGGTCTTTTCTCCCCCTGTCAGTTTGGCCACAAGCAAGACCTTGGTTGGATGTTACTTCTCACGAGTAACGAATCCTTCAAAGTGACAAGTGTTGGACAGAGCAAGAGCTGTCATTTTCGGTCGTTTCCATTCCAGAATGTAACCCGGGGAAAAAAATAAAACATCTGCTGCTGTTTTGAAAGATCAATAACTTATCCAACTGCTGCATTCAGACAAAGCAGATGCTCGTGTCTAGTTAGCTGCCTGCAAAGCAACCAGCTCTTTTGCTTTAAATCTGTTCATCACGAAACAGACACGCACAAGATTAGAGCTTTTCTTTATGCTTCTCTCCCTTGCAAGTCCAAAAATAAGTTGTCTCAGTTCAGTTCTCAAGCGGCACGTTGCTTTTATCCAGCGGGGCTGACAAATAACTGGAATTGCTGTTGACTTTCGTAGCTGCGGTCTGGCATCTGAACACAAAGATATTGCTGTGTGTGCCTGAGAGGAAAGGCTAGAAGTGCCACTCGACATAACCACGGGCTTTGGTTTCACCATTTCTTGCCAACCAATGTTCAAGTCCCAGTAGCTCGAGAGCAGAAGACTTTGCTAGGACAGATTAGCAGCTCACATAAGTGTCATGAGCACAGCAGGGTGACAAGACAGAAGGTATCTGGGGATGCTTTTTGGAACATTAACTACTTCACTTAGCTCCTCGTAGGATGGCACAAGCCTGAGGTTACCCGAGTCAAATTGCAGCTGGAGGAGCGAGTTTGCACAGCCTTGTGCCTGGCGGAGAGCTGCAGAGCAATACTCAAGGCCAAGAACATTGGGCAATCAATAGGACCAGATACAACCGAGGTTTGAAGAGCAGATCAAGGGCCCCCTTCCTAAAGAACTGAGCTACAGTTTTAAAACAAGACTTCAGAAGTCAACCTGCTTATCTTTCAAGCCCTTCGGAGTTATGGCTGAAACAGCTGAAGTAGCAGCAATTATTTATTCAGCTCAAGTTTCAGGCAATCAACAGTCCCTTTTAGGGAAATGTATGCAGAATACAATAGAAAGAGATATTGCTGGTAAGCCTTCCAAAGGGTTTAAAAAGCTGTAATGGCAGAGAAAAAAAAAAAAAAAAAGCTATACTTACTGGAAAGGACCGTAGTGAGGAAAATGTAGTCGGAAAAAGAAATGAGCCCGCATTCTCCGAGCGCGTAGAAAATGCTGTCTTCATCAGCAAACTTCTCCCGCTCCTGGGACAGTTTCTGTTGGTGCATCCGACCCACATCCCAAAGAGAAAATAAAACGATTGATTAAACACAGAAATGGGGCACTTCATTTCTTACCCTTATTAGCAGCAAGCCACTGCATGGACACACACCCCTACCCACCACCACTCATACTGAGGGGACCTTTTCCAGCCTTCAAACCTCACGGAAATGCCCTGCAAAGCTCTGTTATCCCTGCCTCAAATCAGGAATAAGGCACTGCATGCTAATCTGGTTTTATATATCAGCTGGTTTTAACCTAGCTGATATATAAATACTCCTAAGTAAACTATATGTCCCTTGGGTTTAATATTGCGTGGGTCTTAGCTGTATTTTTCATAGCACTATGAAAAATAGTCTCATTTTTAAAAATACAGGAGTGATAAAAAGGAAGCTATTTGGTTTCACTGATGATATTTTAGCTCTACTTGTCCTCTACTATAGTAGCAGCAGGAAAGGACAACTCCAGGCAAATGTAAGAGATGACCAAAGTGATCAGAAATACATAGTTATCAAACATACAGTTCAGGAGTAGGTTTAGAAGTGTCTGCTTGGAAAACCAGACCCCATACCCTTCTTATCTCTCTTCCTTGCCCCGTTTCTTTAGTACTTTTAAGTTTTAATGGAAAACGCCCTGTGCATTTTGGCACCTAATCCCCCTTAGTAAGCTAAAAATCACAGTCCCTTTGGTGCCCTGAAGCTTCAAAGACTGAAAAGGATCCACAAAACTTGTTAGGAGCTGCACACCAACCTCCCCGCTGGTGACCCCGTTACGAACGTGGCACGAGGCAGCACACGCACACACGGAGAGGAGAGCTTAAAACAGAGAGAGGAGGTGGGGATGAGGTTATTTCATCAAAACCAGCTCATGCAAGCACAGAAGCACGGTCAAAGCAGGCTGAGTTGGGGGGTATTTCGGGAGGAAACCACCACACCACCACACAGAGGGCCAGCTACACCACTGTCCCCCACCGTTACCTCTGTCTAGCGGAGATCCCATCATATACAAGATAAAGGAAAGAAAACCGGTTAACTGACAATAATGATTTAAAACAGGCAGGCAAAACATAACATCAGGATGAACGGTTAGGCTCCCAAAAGCAAGAAAAGCAACCGGGGGGTTGCTTGGACTCGCTGCCGCCAAGAAGCCTACGGAGATCCCAGCAGGAGCTGGCGCTGGGCCGGGAGAACTCACCGTTCTCGGGGGCTGCGCGCCGGGGAGGAGCTCAGCTAGTAGCAGAGCTGAGAACGTTACCCCTATCTGGCTTGGAAACCACAAAAAGAGACAAAACAAGTAATCGATCACCCAAAACACCTGCTGCAGGGAAGGGGCCAGCTCTGCTGTGCATCTGCTGGTGCTCTTCGCAGTAGCTCTTTACGGCCCAGAGAGCCATGAGGATTTGGTAGGAGGGGAATCACTAACACCAGACATGCTAGGGGCACTCATTTAATGCAGAAATAACTGTCTGAGCTGCCTGGATATCAGGTTGAAGTTTCATTTTCTTAAGGGAAAAAAAAAAAAAAAAAAAAAAAGAAAAGTCTTTTACCTCCCTTCTCCATCAAACCGGATCCTATGCAAAGCTGCCTCCACTCAAAAAGTTATTTATGCCCAAGGCAAATGAGCAATGGTCAGATCTCTCCCTAGAGAGGCAGGAATATTCTGCTAAGAAGGCAATTTTTCTCTTTCACCCGCCCATGTTATTTACTGGCTCTTTCGCTCAGTTTGTCTTCGGCAGAGCTCATCATAAACTAGCGATTAGCACCCACCTACTTCATTCACGCCCAGCGCTCCGTGATCGAGTCTGAGGTCGGCTTATTAATTTTTATGGGTTCCTTTCCTGCACTTAAAATTCATATCCAGCACCAAACAGCTCAGGATGATACTCACAGATTTACAGTTCTGCCCACAGACTAGTAGTAAGATATTAAGTTAGATACTTTCCAAAAACACAGGGATTGGGACACACGGGAGCGGGGAGCATCTACTCATTTGCATCGTTGGGCAAAGAGTAAAATGGCTTTACAAGCATTAAAAACCTCACGATGTCCCAAATGATCTCTCAAAGCTCTTCGACCAAATTAAGATTACTTTTTTTCCCCCCATATTAAATTCATCCCTGAAAAGACCAGAATTGGTTAGGATCATTCTGCGCTGCATTCAAAACTGTGCATTCACAAGTGAGCAATACAAGTGAGCAAGCCATTGGAAAAGGTTGACAAGTAGGTGAATTTTAAAAATCAAGCATTAAATTTTACATTAAACAAGCATACAAACAAGCAAACATCCAGAGTTATATGTAGAAAAAAAATGAAGAAATAGAAAACCAATTTTTCCATTTATTTCCACACAAGCAAGGCTATGTAAATTCAGTGAAAAGCTGCCAGTCTCAGTGGATTTTTTTTTTTTTTTTTTTTAAAAAAAACACAAATTCAGGCAACTATCCAGACAAGACTGACAAGTACCAACAACTGGTGAGATATTCAAATGCATTTCCAAATACAAAGCTTGATTTGTCCTTGGCAATTTAGGCTCCAAGCCACCCAGAAAACAGCTCCAAGAAGAAAAATCCCAGAGTGAACAAAACAAAGCTCTTGTTTGCCTAAGGCAACCAACCCTTTGGATGCAGGGACTGGTTTGCCATCCTCGTACAGGGCTTTTTGAGAAGGGAGACAGTCCCCCTGCCATAAAGAAAAGCTGTTTTGCCAATGCATCTCCAAGCCCCGATATCTCCTTGAGGCAAACATGAGGTCCAGCTCTTTAGGATGGGCAAATGTACCTGAGCTGATCCAAAGTACAATAGATTTTATGGGAAAAAAACACCACATTTCTTCCTCTCCATGCCCCCAAATAGCTTTACTTGGGGTAAAAAGAAGCGGGAACAATTTAGAGTGTCCTCTGTCACGCTGGGAAGACACCAGCCAAGGTGCAAGGGCAGCACAGGGCCTCAGTTCTTGCTAGGATTCATTCACAGCAGATCAAAGCAAACACTCAATTTGCTTAATTATTAAGTCAAAAGGAGGATATAGTTTTGCCAGTTAGCTTCTGCCACCTCTGCAAAGCCAGGGCTGGACACGAGCTGCAGCGCTGATGTTTGCTCTGCATTCCTTACGTGCAGTTAGAGGAGCCCTCTCAGCTAAATCCTGGCAGCACCGATTCATTTTGCATTGCAAATGTTACTTAACGAGGAGCATTTAATCTGCCACTTGGGGCAGAGCGTATTCTCAGGCCCTCATTTAGAATCAGCAGTTTGTATTTCAGTCTGTGGGAAGACAGAGTGGGTTCTGCCACTTTATTCATATAATTATCGTTTAGGTTTCAAGACCTCTGCACCTACGTGCACCAAAGCTACAGCAATTTATCAGCCTTGTGCATCCCCTTGGCATGGACTATCCCCTTCCAAACCAGCGAGGAGTAAAACTGTGTGGGAAATAACGAGCATTTTTTTCCAGAACCAAAAAGTAATTGTGTAAATTAGCAAGGGACCTTATTGACTAACATCAGAGTTGGCTCCTTTTTTTTTTTTTCCCTCCTCTGAAAGAAAATTCTTTAAGGTTACCAATATTACGTGGACAAATACAAAAATATGAATGTTTAATATGCAGCAAAGTCACCTTGCTGCAAAGCAATTCTCTTTCAGTCCCAACCGACCACCTTATGCAAACTGCTTAAATACAGTCATTAAAAATATTGCTTCCACAGTTAAAAACATAGTAATATTAATATTAAAACAGATTTTTTTTGTCTTATACCATAAGGGTTCCCCAAATCTGTTTTATAAGCTTGCTCAATAGAAACTTCAAATTTCTTTGCCTTGTTCTGAATTTTCTAACTTTATAAGGAAAAGGTGCCCATCCATATTACTGCAACACAGGATGCAGGTCTATAATGTCTGTTTGTTTTTAAAGATAACAAACTTTTAAGAACCATAGCCATTTATTTAGAGGTTTTCATGATACAATTTGTGTTGGCACCTCACTACCTACACATAAAAGAGACATCAAATAAAAAAGCTTCAGAGCCAGATTAGAATATATGAAACATCTCAGCCCTTGCATTTAAAAGCTCTGTAGGGGCAGAAAAGGCAGATAGGTCCTCCTAGTGCTATGAAATGAGGACAAAAAAAGGCTTTTAGGGAAGGGAAAGAAGAGTAGTTTATGTGTAATTTTAACAGATTTTATAATGTGGTTATGATAATTTTAGACACATAACTGTTTATGTTGCTATATAAGAAAAAGCATACAGTTTATGCTGGAAAATTTTATAGCATAAGGAATTTCTGAAAGTAATCATAAAATTATTTTTGCAATGGCAAAGTTTACAGCAGCAGTTGGTAGCAGCTCTAGACAACTTACTTAGAGGTCTACACGTCAGCAGGGGCCAATGCAAAGAGGTTCCCAACATCAAGTTAAGCAGCAGACGAGTAGTAGAACATGGGAAGATACTTGTATAGATAACTACAAGTTTGTAGCTTATAAACTTTCAAGAGCGCATTTTAGGAAAGAGGTATTTTTTTATTTTATTTATTTTTAAAAAGAGACCTTTTAATGTTAGGATTTGTAAGGGGACACAAATATAGTACATGTTCTGCATGCTCTTTCCCCTCCAGTTGGGATTCGGCCTCATAACCGGTGGTCTCCTGGGACTGGAAAGAGGAATTTGCGCTGGACTTTGAGCAAGGCTGTAAATACTCGTCGCCTTTCTGACAAGCAGCACCTGAAATGCAAGGCCAGCACCCTGGACCGCCCGCAAAAACCACACGGACTTTCCAGACCCTTCGCAGGCAGCAAAACCCAGTCATGCAAGGGAGAAACCCCTGCTGGAAAAAGCCAAAAAAAAAAAAAAAAAGGAAATGCTTCTTAAAAGGGACAGTCTATACTTCTCCCTCCCCAGCTGGAATATCTCAGCCCTTTGCAGGGTAAGGAAATCGTGCTCCTTTTGCAAGGGTTATGTTCACGCAGCCAATACTCCCACTCTCTGGAACAAAGGAATTAATTTATTGCTCAAGGTTATTTATTTATTTAGGAAAGGCTTCAGGAGAACATTACAGTTAAACCTTTCTCTAAACTACAGCTATTTGCCATTTATCACAGGTTCCACCCAAACCTCTCGCAAATCAGAACCCCAGTGAGATCTCTCCGCTGCGAAGGGTGGTTACTCTCCCGGTCGAAGAGAGAAATCCCTGGCTGCTGAAATGGCTTTGCGTTTGCAAGGACTCCTGGAGGATGATTAAAATCATTATCATTACATAGAAAGGTCTGGCCCATAACGTATAGGTATCCAGCCTCCGTAAGTCCCCAGAATTAAAAAGGCCACGTAGGGAGCTCATAAAGTCCCTCACAACCCACTGGAAGGTAAAGTCAGCCCTCCAGTCGGGAGATGAGCACATGGATCAGGGCTGCCCGCAGGACCAGTGACACCCGTTGGACGGGGAAGCTTTAAAAGCAGCTCCCCGTGGTCCCCAAGCACGCAGCTAAAGGGCTCACCTTGGACAACTTGGAATTTAAGGCTCTGGGCAGTTCTCCGGATGGAGGAAAAAGCAGGATGCTGCTTTACCTCGTCTCTGACTGCATTACAGAGATGTAAGGCACTTGTAAGGCACTGTGATCATTTTCCCCAGGGAAAAATGCTGTATGAAAGCACCCGAGGAAAATAATTCCACATTAAAAGCAGGTACTTAAAAATGGCTCAGATGATGAGGTCAAGGCCACAGACTAAGGACCAGTCACCCACCAAATGAAGGAGGAGTTTGGGGTAAAACAGCCTGTAATCACATAATTGAAGATTGCCATCATACCTAGATATGAGTTCAGGAATTGAATTAAGATATCATTAGATATCTCTTCTGCTTATTCCTTTCCTCCTTCTAAACATACTCTCTTTTCTGTAGGCAGTGAGGTCAAATATCTATCAAAATGTTCCTCCTCGTCCTGCTCAATTTATCTTCCCTTCCTTATTCAAAATTCAATTTTATGCTCCTTAAGTATCAAGCCTTAATCTAAGGCAGCAAAATTATCTTTATAAAAAAATGAATTAAAGCCCAAATGACCCCATAAGCCACCTGAAGTCTATCCCTTTTGTGATTGAAATGCTGCCTTGCTCCACATAACCTTGGGCTGCACAAGCAATTCTCCACGTTACCCGCAGCGAGTGATGGGAATACAGATCACCTCCCAACTTGCAGTGTCAGTGCACAATCCCTGCCTTTTCCTGGGAAGCTCCAAGGAGGGAACATTCCACTTATTAATACTAGAAAGCTCAAGGGGGACATCCACTTTAGCACAAAAAAAGCCATCTGGTGCCCATTTCCTCTATGGCTTTTAAGGTCACAAAGAGGTAGGACAAACTAAAAGCATTTAGTGTCATTTCCTTCTTTACTTACTAATGCCAAGCGAATTTTCCCCTGCTTTCCAGTTTCTTGTCTCCATAAAAAGCTTTTGAGGAAATTTTATGAGCTGTATCATCTGCCTTCAATAAAACCAGTGACAACAGTTTATCCTACCTAGGTCTGCAACCCTAACAATTCAACGTTTGCATAAATAATCTTCCCACAACTCTCATATCTTCGAAGCCAGAATGTTTCCCTAGACCCTTTTTAGAAGATTTGGCCAGAAAATGCCTGTCTTGTTGTATAATAAAAATAATTCTATAGCCTCAAGCAGAAAATATCCTTTTGACAGAGATAGAACCCACTGCAGTCTAATGAAACTGCAGAAATTGCAGTCTGAGGTCTCCAAAAATGCCATGAAATAGAAGGACATAGAGAGATATGTGCACAGGCTTTGATCAAAGATGCTCCCCTTTATAAAGGCATATGTTAAAAGTTACCCTGGGGGCTCTATTAAATGGGCCAAATTCAAATATTTGGAAATAAATCCTTTAGGCCAAGGATGAAGGAGAAAATTCAGGATTATTTCTTAAAGGAGTGGGGAGAAGGGTAAGCATACACTGTCCCTTTTACATGAAAAGTGCAGGTCATGAGGTCTGAAGCACAAACCAGTTAAAAAGCACATGCTGGCTGCTTTGTACCTGCCAGAAATCCTGGTGGAAGGGGAGAGGGTTAGAAAAGGGAAGAAAACGAGGGATGTGGTTACACCAAAAAAACACAGCCCATAGTTAAAACAGAGACACAAGTTTACAGGTATTAGTAGCTGGAGGAAATGTTTCCCGGACACCTGGAGACAAGAATAAAAGAGCACATAGAGCAACCAGAGCATTTCTGAAGGGTCTGCCACACCAGCCCTGCAAGAATGAGCAACAGGATTAGTAGGACAAGAAGGTTATAGCGAGTAGAGCTCTGTCAAAAACTAAGTGTCACCAATTTTAGGTTCTGGGGATAAGGAAGGGCAAAGGACTTTCTACCATCCGCAGTAGAAAAGAATGAGGAACATGAATAGCACGACAGGGGGTGACAGGTAGTGACTTTCCAAAACAGATAGAGGAGTTTGGCTTCTTTGGGCAGTTCTCTGGGTCCTGGTGGGGAACTTGGTCATCATCCAAAAACCAATCAACTCTTCCACCTGAAAACACACCGCAGTCACTTTGTGTTTAAGCCCCAACACTGCTCAAGTCTAGAAATATATAGGGAAGACTGAGTTCCTCCATATCTTCAACTGCTATGTGTGCCAAGTAAACTTAACACTGCTGCTCTAAGTAGTTTGGAGGGACAAGTTTGGCTGGAAAGCAGGCAAAAAGACAAGTAGAGAAACCACAAATCATGGGCTAGGGACACAGGTAAAGCAAGGAGAGAAGCACGTGCCAGCCCACGAACACAGATTTTGGGATCATCTGCAATAAACTGCATCTCTGCTTGTTTCCACCGAGATATTTGTGGTGACTTGGGAAGGAAAGAACGTGAGGTTGTTATCTAAATCAGATGCCTCCTGCTTATTATGAAGAACACTACCTAAGTAAGCTCAGAGGGAATTTAAAAGCAGGAAATCCAAAATTAGACAGTGACATGCTATAGAGATTATGGGACAGGATATATGATGTCTCAAATTATCTCTGAGCCAACAGTTGAAACTGCTTACACCGGAGACTCATTTATTCCAAAGGCTCTTAACGTGGGAGCTGGTGGGACAGCCTATGGTTAAATTTACTGACTCCTATTTTCCTTGTGTCTAAGCTAAAGGAAGCACTGAGTATCCTTCTTGGTTAACAAGCACAATAAATCAGCTGCACCTGCACTTTAGGCTGTAGTTTATCGACTTGCAATAGTTTGTTATCTTTAAGAGACCATTTAAAGATCATTGAAAAGCAGGCGACTTTTCACTATGCCCTAAGGATGGTCCCTCCACCTCCAGGTCTCTCCATGGGGATCCTGCAGGCTCCTGGACTCTAAATTTCCCAAGGCTAAAGGTCTCTTAAAAACACTGGGCAGCTGGATCTGCAGCTTGCTTTAGAGGAGCGCCACTAGCTACATCATTTGTTCTAAATTTTTATTTTTTAGAGAGATTAATTGAAAAATTAAAGCTGCTGGCAGAATTAAAGATCAATCATTAACGCACAAACCAGAAGAACATCAAGCAAACAAAGGGCACATGAAAAACACAATACTTTCAGTACAAGCAATGTAGCATTAACAGAGCCCCCGCCCCACATTTATCTCCCTCTCCAGCAACTCCACAAGTCACTGCTAAGGAGCAGGAGGAGAAGGAGGAAGAGGAAGGAAGGGGGCATCGTATCCTCGCCGTGACGTTCAATCACACACAGCAAGGCAGAAACCCCATACGACGCCGACACGTCGCCCCAAGCCCCTGGCAAGGGCTGCCAAGGCAATCGGGCACTCAACTGGGTGGTTTTGTTTTTTTTATTAAACATAAAAAATTCACAAGAGCAGCTCGTACACCTGTAATGCAGAGCCCTTTTTACCCTGAACACACATGCTCAAAGCCGCGCTGCTACTTTAAGCTGTCCTATAATATGGAATTGAAATGCAACTGATTGCACAGCTGCTTCTAGGCTTTGTACTGAATCCCTATAATATGGAATTGAAATGCAACTGAATCTCTCCAAATTATTATTTACACACTACCATAAGTAGAAACATCTGCCTGCAACCAAAATCAACTCTTCTGCTCTTTAGCCAGTCTCTATCTTGCATTAAGGTGAGAGAATTTTCCAACTAAGACCCCAAAGAAGCAGCAAAATGAGCACAAACTGCTATCAGAGAGCTGGGCCAAGTCTCATCATCTTTCTTTACCAAGGCACTGCCAAGGCCAACTCATTTTGTACTCTCTTCAGATTTTTCTCTCACCTGGACGTTACCACTACACCAACAGGCAGAGTTTGATATAGCCCAAAGATGTTTTTAAGCAGACAGCCAAGCACGAACCTCTTCATTTGAGGCAAAAGTCACCTGCTTCAAGGATTTTTAGACCATGAAAATGAGGTCCCAGGAGATCACTGCAATAAAGAACAGCACGTTGCACAACCCAGAATCTGCTGCCTAAGACCACAGCTCACATACATCCAGGTGCAGGACACCAAGGCACGAAGGAAGGGAAAGTCAAGTTCAGCAAACTGTTGGGCTTGGAGTCTTTTATCCCCCATGACGGGAGCCGGATGCAGGAGCCGAGAAACTATGGGCTACAACAGCGTGGGATTCCACTTTCTTCCCTAGAAAACAAGATCTTGTTTGTGTAGAGCCTAAGGGCCCAAGGAGATGGCTTGACAAGATGACATGATGAAAGTGGGCTGAAGGAAAATAGGCTGTCATGAAGCACAAGGAGAAGCATTTGGCATTTTTTAAAGAATCCATCTACTCTTTGTTTTTAAACCATCAAAAGCAGGCGCTGGGGGTGGGGAGACAAGCGCTCACAACATGTTTCAGAGCTCTGTGCATCAAAAACAACTGCCAAAATGCTACCTTCCAAGTGCCTGCTTTCCAAGCAAAGCCTTGCTCTGCTGCCTGGGTAACCAGAGCATTCTGCACCAGCAATGACAGGGACCTCGTTTATTTGATCACCTCTTTACCTTTTTCTCCTAAATGCAGGACATGCCAGGAAAGAGCCTGTGCTCAGCCCATGCTACATCTGTAAAAGGCTTTAAATGCAAGTTTCCACACCGGGGCTTTCTGGAAATGCCTGACACCGCACATCAGGTCCAGAATTCAGCAGCAACGAGGCTACATGATAGCTTCCTTTGGGAAAAGTTGGCATTTGCAGATAACTCTGAAAACATCACTAAGAGCTAGACCATCACTGAGTGCCCACAGTGATATAACAGAGAATTTAGCCCAATCACAGCTACCTGCATCAAGGAGTAACAGGCACGCGAGCTGCAAGTCCCAGGGTCAGGGCTACTTCTGCTGTAGCTCCACGGCATCCACGTGTTTTATGGGGCAGTTAATTTGCTCTCAGATTTGTGTTAAGGACAGGATGCTGTGCAGGCAGATCAAGTTATGCAAGGCTGCTCCACACTAGGCCTGTGCAAACACCCCAAAATGTTACATATCACCACAGTAAAGACCTAGAGCTCAAAAGGGGGAAGAAAGGAAAGGCATTTGAAGGAAGGGAAATAAAGGCTTGGGAAGCAAATGAAGTTACAAGCATC